CTGCTTAAAATTCCCCAAAGGCTTCTTATTTTACCTTGAAAACCCCCCTTGCCTAACTCTGATTACCTCTCTTCTCCCTCACCTACTAGATTAGCAATACAAGCCTTTTTTGAGTCCCAAAACACACTCTTAAAGGTCTTTCCCTACAGAAAGCACTCTTCCCCATCTGAGTACTTATTATTATTCAGATATCAGTTTAAATGTCACTGTATTCAAAAAGGCCTTCAGTGACTAGTCAATTTAAAAGTAGCCACCCAGTCATACACTATCACATTACCTCACCCTATTTCAATTCTCTACATAGCTCTTAGCATTATCTAGTTATTAAAATTTGTTTTTTTAACGGATTTATTCCATTGTAACATATGCACCATGACCGTAGGACTGAAAGTTTAGTAAGTACTCAACAAATATTAAATAAAAATCAACATGCAAATATTGAGGGATCACTAAAAGAATACATTCAATTCATTCAAAAGATGTTTATTAAATGCCCACTATGTGCTAGGTATAGGAAGAGCAAAAGTCTGGCAGAAACCGTATCTGATTTCCCAGGTACTTCCCGTATTATGTTTTACCAATATGCCAAGAAACCTTCATTTCATCTCTGTGATATAGTTTTTTAAAGACTTATTTATTTGCTTTAAAGAGAGAGCATCTCAAGCAGACTCCCCGCTGAGCACAGTGCCCAACTCCGTGCTCCATCCCAAACCCTGAGATCATGACCTGAGCCAAAAGCAAGAGTCAGACCCTCAACCGACTGGGCTACCCAGATGCCCCTGTAATACAGTATTTTAATACATTTATTACTCTGAATGTATTAATAATCTAGGAAACTTCTATAATAAAGTACTATCTCCAGCACAACTATATTAAAATACAGTAAACCACAACAGGAACAAGTTGCTAATAAATGACGGCTAACAAATACCATATACAGAACAAGTACTAAACAATATTTTACAGTGTAATCACCAATATTATACAAATAAACCACAAAGCAAGGTATTTCTTTACACATTACAGTACACTAAATGTGCTTTCTATAATTAAAACTACTGTATCTTTACAGTTCTTTTATCCAAAATTCCAACATATACATACAATAGCTTTGATGTCACTTATGTACTATTAATTGCATTTCAGCTTCTTCATTTAAAGTCTAATCTCTCACTTACTATTGTTCCTCCACTTATTGAAAGCACACAACAGTGACAAGGGTTAGCATATTGAAGAATTAAATCTGAGTATCACATAACTCTTTCTTGTCATCATTTTTAGTGATACAATAAAACCTGCAATGTATTACAATCATCTCAATTTTTGTTTTTTAATATATTTGTTCTTAATTAAGGGTTGAAGTAACCGCAAAACAAAATTAAGTGCCTTTGGATTTGAGCTTTAAAAAACTGTGTACTCCATTTTCCTCTATATGTCCATCCATCACATCACCAACTTTCAGAATTTTTAAGATTTTATACAAGTAGTAGTCTATTAGACATCACAGAATGCTTTATATAGATTAAATTTCTCCAATTTTTTTAAATAAAAAATGTCTTTAAAATAAAACCACACAATTAAGAATATTCTCTTTTAGCAATGGTCTTCCCATCCAACCTTCTCATTTTATTTCTGTATTGTTTGACTATAAGAGGAGATAGACTACTATCGTTAACAGTAAAAAGACTTGCACTGATTACACTAAAGGTGGTGCATGGGAATGGTCAAGTAAATGATACAAAATGGCTAGTAAGTGTTAAGAAAATTTTGGTAGTTGAAAAAGGGGGAGAGGACTTTCAGCATTCAAAAACTAAAGCAAACGCGAACAATATAAAAACAAATTCCATTGCTTTCCCCGCTTTGTACATCTACTCTACAGCTTTTGAGCTACTAGGTCAATAAGGCTCCCAAAAGACCCACCACATTCCACATGTGCCTGTACTCCTCCAGTGCTGACACTCAAAAGACCGCTAAACATATACATGTTCAACAAATGAATCACTCCCATAATTCCTCTTATCTCAGTCTTTTCTTGCATTCATTTTTTTCCCGCTCATCTCAAGCTCACCAGAGTTTCTATGCTGGCCACTTCAAGTTACTTAATTTTCTTAGTTCCTTCTAGGTAAAAATCAAACAAGGACAAACCTTTGAGGAGCCAAAATCAAGGTCTCTGAGAGCAAAAACTGTTCTTCACTTTATGTGGATCTCCCTACAGGTCTCACTAAAATCCTATTTTCTCCTCTTTATTTTAGATCTATTTCTAATATCCTTGGTTACCTAGTTTTCACAACAAATTTTCACAACAGGACACTTAGAGTCTCCTTGTATTATTTTAACTTTCATTGTTTCTTTTCTTACAGAAATTTTACCTAAATACTGTATCCAAAATAGATACTAAAAAAACCACTAAAGGGCGCCTGGGTGGCTCAGTTGGTTAAGCAACTGCCTTCCGCTCAGGTCATGATCCTGAGTCCCAGGATGGAGTCCTGAATTGGGCTCCCTGCTCAGCAGGGAGTCTGCTTCTCCCTCTGACCCCTCCCTCCCCCATGTACTCTCTCTCTCAAATAAATAAATAAAACCTTAAAAGCAAAACAAAAAAACCCCACTATAAATATCTCTGAAATTTAAGTCCATTAAAATGAAATCCTACAAGGGGCAGCTGTAGAGCACAGGACTCTTGATCTCTGGGTTGTAAGTTAGAGCCCCACATTGGGTGTAGACCATTACTTAAAAATAAAATCTAAAAAAAAAAAAAAGAAAAAAAAAGAAATCCTACAAATCATTTTAATGTAAATGCTCCTGTCTTCATTTCTTGCTCCAGACTAACAATGTTAGTTTTTATATTTATATAAATAAGAACAAAAATATATTTAGACAAATAGGAATAAGAAGCTGAAGCCACTCTCTGTAACAATGGTCTTTCGGAAAATACACTTTTAGAAGTATATTTATAAATCCTGTAACTCAAGATATTCCTTAGAAATAAACCAGTAAACAACAAATATATTGAGTATATACAAATACAATATTGGCTCTAAGATAATCAATGCACGAAGTGCCGTAAGAGTTATCCAACTATCATAGAACATTCAGTGGAGCTGTAGAAAAGTTACTGCATAACTTCAATAAACCCACAGGTATTTACAAAAACTCCTTTAGGTTTCAATAATTCTGGAGTTAATTCTGAATACTGTAAGCTGGGAAAGCTCCTGCCGCACCAATATTACTGCAAAGAACCAAAGTCAAATAGACATTTTATGAAAAGTTTTGTCTGAGAACATTAAACAGTTGCACTTTAAACTTTAATCCTTTAACTTATTAGTACACACTTGGCAATAAGGAAAAATTCAAGAAAAATCTGACTTCTATTAATTACATCAATCCACAGGGCATTGTCAATTACTTCTGAGGACACTGAAGAGTTTCTCATCTATAATTGCTATCTCCTGTACCTTTAAGAATTTATCACAAAGCATACTTTTACATATTCTTGCAATAAAATTATTTTGTGCCACAGTTCCAAAAAGATTGGGAACTATGTTTCTTAAATAATTGAAGAGACACAAAACTTCAGATTAAATGAGACAAGTAAAACATAACACTATATCCTCACCCAAAGGTATCCGTTCGTTAACCACTGATTTCATTTACTGACCACCAATTAAATATCATTTAATCCTCACATCTCCGAAAGGCAGGTAGGTACATAGCAAATAAGTTAGAGGCACAAATGGAACTCATCTATTTAACACCAAGACCGCTGATCTCCACCAAAGCCAGAATCAACTATTTTTTAATATAGATGGGCAGAAAGCAGCTGGTTTAAACTAAACATGACAATCTTAATGATATACAGAACCACAATTCCAAAAGAAAAGCTGATATACACCGGTGGCATATTTAGATTCTTGGCATAAATTGTACTGACTTCAACACAGTGGCTCTTTTTGCAGTCACAAATACAGAAGATGGCATGAAAATCTACCACGTGGACTTCTGAAGTGTTCGAGGGTTTAACTGCAGAAAAGATTCAAAGTTTTTATTTTCTTTTTTTTCTCCCCTGAAGTGCTATTATTTGGGGGCTGGGGGAAGAGTGTAGGGTAAGTACCTACATTACAGGACTTACAACACAAGAGGAGTCTTTAATCTGGAGGTGAGTTTGAGCCTGGATATGAAGGGCTCTAACACAAAAAATCTTCACCACCGAAGAGGCCTGGAAGTGCAATCTACGTGTGGGTGTGGGCTCGGTGGCGGGAGAACTGCGGCTACAGGATTCAAGACAGTGTATGCGAATAAAAGGGTCACCAATTCTGGGGAGGAGGGGGCAAATCATTCATTTTCAACACCCCTCTCCACTCACCACTCGCCTTTCACTCTGGGGCTGACGGAACCTGCTATCTTTTTTTAAAGCTCATTCTCTCCAGTTACCACGTCCCAGACTTTAGCTCCTAACCGGGTCCACTCAGGGGTAGTGACGACGCCTACATCTCCCTCCCGCACCTGAGGACCCATAAAGGCCGACTACCATCACCAACGAAGCCTCGACCTCCCCTCCCCCCCGGCCCCACTACCGAGAGCTGCTCAGGCCCAGGCCTCCTGTGCCCCGCGGCCGTGTGCTCCACGCCATCTGCCACCAGGGCTTCGGCGTCCGGCCGCCGCTTCCCCTTACTCCTGCCACAAAGCCCGCGGCCAACTCCGAAGGCTCGGGTGGGCCGCACACCGCCAGAGCCGGGACCCCGGGCCCTGCCCGTGCCCAGAACCAGCAGGCCTTACTCAGCGCCCGGGGCCCAAGCCCTACGCTCGCCGCGCACTCCCGGGTGTGCTGAGGGCTCTCCCCGCTCGGCCGCGCTGCCGGGCCCTGCTCGGGGCTGAGGCCCGGGCCCAGGGCACAGAACAGCCGCGCCGCCCCCCGCCCAGGCCCGGCGGGCCCCTCGCGCTCCCCGCGGCCCGCGCGCGGCCGCCTCCGCCCCGCCCGGCCCCACGCTCCCCGCCGCTCGCACCGTCTCGTCGGGGTCGATGTCGATCTTGAAGGTCTGCTGCTGGAGGGTCTTCAGGGTGACCAGCATGGTGCCGGGGCGCAGCTCCGCTGCCGGGCCTGCTCCGGGTGCTGGCCGCTGGGCGGGGTCTGTGGCCTGGCGGGGCCCCGGGGTCGCCCGCGCTCCTCGCGCACTAGGGAGGAAGGCGGTGGGGGTGGGGGTTTGTCACATTCGCCCTGCGGAGCGGCCTCTCCCCCAGCCCTGGGCCCGGGCCGCGCCGCTCCCTCCGCGACTGCGGCCTTCCTCGCGAGTTCTGGCCGCCGTGCTTCCTCACGCGCCCGGCGCCGGCCACTGAGTCTGCAGGAGGCACGAGGGGCTCTGCGAGACAAGCAGAGAATCCGCTAGCTCACCACAGGCTGGTGGCCGCCATCAACGTGACTCGCCGAGACGCGCCCCCTCCCCCACCCGAAAAAATCTGGGGGATGGGAACGGGCTGGCGAACCGCGCAGGCGTAGGGTGCGGCGAGGCTGTGCGCAGGCGCGGCCGAGAACTCCGCCCCGGAATTGGGGCGGGGCGGATTGCGGCTCTGGAATGTCGGTGGCCTGGATCGGGCGTGCGCAGACGCAGTCAGTGGGCGTCTGGAGGGCTCTCGGGGCTTCCTTGTGGCGTCTGCAGCCGGGGCGTTCTCCCGCCTGCCGCTGCTCCGCCTACGTCCAGACTCCTCCCGGCTCCCTGAGTTGCGCAACCCGTAGCCGGGGAAGCGCTACGTGGAGACCGCGCTAAGTGGATGCCGAAGTCTGGAGCTGGGGAACTGGAGGGCGGTAGGTTGGGGCGGGGTTTAAGAGAAAGGCTCGTGGTAACCCCGGTACTGGGCCGGAGCTTACCGGGAGCTTTCTATGTGGATGAGCATTTGTGGTGGCGACTCTGATTCTTTACTCCTGAGAGTACAGGCCCCAGTGCCGGACTGCCTAGGTGGACCTTGGGCCTAAGTAGAAGGACGGACAGAGGCGGTCAAGTTCTTTCACTCCTCCGTGGACAGAACTGTCCGGTGGCTCCTGTCACGGAGAAGTCAAAGTCACAGTTCCTGGAACTGGATACATAGCCCCAGCCTCTCACCGCATCTCCCTCCTCTCCCTGGCTCTTGGGGTTGTTGGTGGGTACTAGGCACTTGCTCCCGCCTAAAGGCCTGCCTTTGCACTTGCTGTACCCGCTTCTGAATCCTCTTTACCCAGATGGCTGGGTGGCTCACTGTCTCAACTCCTTCAAATCTTTGCTCAAATGTCACCTTCTCAGTGAAGTCTACCCTGATCCTCGGCTTAAAACCGCAGCTTCCCTAGCTCCATTATCCTATTCTGTTTTGTCCATAGCATTTAACATCCTCCAGTTACCATATAATACAGATATTTATTATCTTTGTCATCTTTTCCTCCAAGCCCCAGACTGAAGCTGCACAAAGGCGAGGATCTTGATGTGTTAACCGATGTATCTCTAGCATGGAGAAACGTGCCTGACAGCAAGCACACGATAAATATTAGTGGAATGGGTAAATGTGTTTCCAGTTCCTCATCAGTAAGGTAGGAATAATAATAGCACTCAACTCCATTGATTATTGGAGGGGGGTATTGGATAATGTATATAAAGACAAGGAACAGAGTGAGAATCGCATAAGGAGTTAGCTGTTTGTAGTATGCCCATTTACAGATAAAAAAAAAAGTGGAATACAGAGATGCTGAGTAATGTGCCTGGAGTCACCCACCTAGTAAGTGACAGATCAGCATTTTAACCCAAGCAGAATGACTCTAGAGCATGTGCTCCTAGGTGCTGGGCTATTCTGCCTCTTATTAAGGTACTGTTTGACATAAGGTGGTTCAAGTATAAAGGAAAGTTAGAGTTAGATCACTAACCATGTGACCAATTGCAAATTACATCTTTGTGCCATCATCCTGACTGATACAGTATCACTGCTTGGTTTTTCCTGTATTTAAGAGCTCAGGTATAATCCTTCCATGGAACTTTCCCTGACCAACTTCCCTCTCCACTAACCTGGCATTTCCTCTTTCACAGCACAGATGTCCCTGTATTGTAATTCAATATTTAATCCTCTGCTCTCTGCATTTCTGTGTATCTACTGTTGGTCATCAGGTGATCTCATCTTGTCCTTTGTTTTGAAATACCTCCAGCCTGGACCTGTCCCCTTAGCTGTAGATAGAGTTAGCCAGTTACCTATATAATACCTTCACTTAGAGTGTAACAAGCGCTGAAGCCTACCATGGCCAAACAGAACCATTGATTTTTCTCTGGACCTCTCTTCCCCATGAAACCTGCCCCTTTACCAGTTTTCCCCCATTTTAGTTCATGGCACCACCATCTACCCAGGTGCTCAGACCAGAAATCTAGTCATCATCCCTGGTAAATCTCTCCTCTGTTCCTATTTCCTCCCCCACCACATGTAATCCACTATCAAGTCCTGTCAATTTTATTCTCCAAAATACATCCCAAATTCAGCCATTTTCACCATTTCTAATTCACCAACCCTAGGCTAATCCATCATTATGCTTCACCTGCCTCCCAACTGGTCTCTCCGCTTCTACTCTTTTCCCCCAGCAGCCTCCCCAGCAGTCAGAGTAGTCTTTTTCAACCATAATTCAAATCATGTCACATCTATTCTTAATACCTAATTACACTTTAGAATACAGTTCAAACTCTTTACCTGGCTTTGAAGAGTACACATGATCTGACTCCTGCCAAATTGTCTGGCTTCATCTCTTTTCTTCTCTCTCCCTTTCATTCACCGTCATCCCTCTGCACCTCCCTTTCTTTCGTACCTCAAACAGGCTAAGCTGTTTCTAACCTGTGAAACTTTGCAGTTGAGGTCACTTCAGCTTGAAACTCTCTCTTCCTACATCTTCGAGTGGCTAACTCCTTTTCATCTTTCAAATTCCAGGTCATATTTTACTTCCTTAGAGAGGACTTCTTCAATAACTGAAATGATAAATGATAAATATTAACTCTTTAGGTGAGGCACTATCCACTTTACAAGGACAACCTCATTTGAGCGCCCACAAAACTCCATGAGATAGGTATAACATTACCCTGGCTTTAATTTTTTCATGGATCTACCTGAAATTACTATTTTCCAACTTGTTTATGGTCTGTCTCACATTACTACTCAGTCCCCATCTCTGCTTTGTCGGGAGAGGAACTTGCCTTACGGCTCTCTCCCAAGCACCTAGATCAGTGCCTGGAACACAGGTGCTCAGTAGTGTATGTTGACTGAATCCTCAACTCAGTTGTAAGCTCCATGAGGCCAAGTGTTATGTCAGCCTTGTTCAGAATGGTATCTTTAGAGTCTAGCACAATATGAATGCTTAATATACATTGGCTGAAAAAATAGTGAAGTCACTTTAATTAAAATGAGTCAATTTAGTTGAAATTTAAACAGTTGTAAGAAACTATCTGAAACCATTTTATAATTTATTATAGTTTTATTATAAATTTAATTCATTTATTATAATTAAATTAGAAGTTATTTATTTTTATAATATTAAATGTGTTTCATTATAACTTTATTTGTTATAATATTAAAACTTTTTTCTGCTACAACTGCTATTATCCATCTGCAGAAAAAGGGAGGTGAGAGATGCCTCTCTATATATTAGTGTATATATTTTAAAAATCTTTTGCTCATGGCAAAATAAATAAAAAACGGTATAGAAAGGGATCGATTGAAAATAAATCCCCCTGCCCACTTCCTAGAAATAATAATTGTTTTGAGTGTCTTTAGACATATTTTAGGTATGTACAAGAATGTATCCCCCAAATAGTTGTGGCAACAGTAGATTTTAAATGCCAATTGAAAGATTCACCGGATACATTTTCTAAAGTACAGTGTTCAGATAAAAAGTTGTTTTTGTTTTCTTTTAATTTCTGGTAAAACTGTATGCCAGACATAACCACTCTTGGCCCAATAGCTCAGGTTGGACCGGCTGTATGCCTCCTTGTTAGACGTAGTTGCCTTTACCTAGAGTCTCATAGTTCACATGACAGATGATAGGACTTCACCCCCGACCCTCCCAATACAAAGGCCACCGAGGTGAGGATGCTTGTGAGCAAGGCCTTGTAGGATAGGCCTTGGGCTTCTCCAAGAGCTATTGGGCCAAGATAAAAAGATGGATGGGAGTCATTGGTTCCAAGTACTTGGGAACAAGCCAGGTAATTTTGCTTGTGTTTTTGGAAATCAGTCAAATGATTTCAGGGAAGAAGATGAGCAACCTGAGATGTAGCAACTGCTGACTTAAAAAATACTAGGGCAAAAATGCCAGACTTCAAGCCATTCATTCAGCAGATAATTATTGAGACTCCCCATGCCAGGAACTCTTCTGGGTGTTGGGGATACAATAGGGAAGAAAACAAAGTCCCTGCCCTCATGGAGTTTATATTCTCATGGGATGGTAGATAAATAGATAATGAACTAAAAATCAAAGGTATTTTTAATCTATCAGGTGATAAGTGGTATTTTTTTAAAAAGCACATGAAGAGGATCAGTAGTGCTCAGAAGAAATAGAGTTGCTACAGAGAATGGTGCCAGATAGCTTTCATTCTTTTCCCCATCATTCTTTCTTCCCTCTTCTTTGCCCAGCAATTGGTTCCAAGAAGGCTGACCTATGTGGACTACCACAACTGGCTTCCTGGGGAGTCCTTGCAGGACATAGGAATGAGCAAAAAGAGTGAAGTTAGGGAATTTATTCTTCTTTGTGGTTGGTAGTGCTCTTGATACAAGGTCATTGCTTCTGTAGGGTGCCCCTCCAAGGGTGCAGAAAGGTACCCAGTGGGTCACTGGGAGTGGTAAATGGAACTACTCCTGCTTCCGTGCCTTGGTTCCTAGACCCAGCTGGTCTTCCTACTGGAGACAGAGTGCCCTATAGGGTTCTCTGATTCAGTGTGCAGATTGCATGCTGGAGAATGAAACCCTCCTGCACAGTATTGCTTCAGACATGGTAGTTTAGCTGTACCATCAGCAAGCCATTCCATTGCTCTCTCAGATTGGCTTTTCTGGAAAGGTTGGTATATGAAAAGACCAACAGGTCCTATGATCATGGGATCATTCCCAAACCTCCATTGTGAAGTGGGCCCCCTGGTTGGATGCTATGATGGGTGGGGTTCTGTGTCTGTGGATCAGGTACTCTGTAAACTCCTGTACGATGATACAGGCCAAAGCTCTGCTGGCAGGAAATGTAAACCTACACCAAGAATAAGTGTCTATTCTTGTGAGAACAAATTGGCCCTCCAGTATGCAAATGGCGCAACACAGTCAACTTCCCACTAAGTGGCCGGTTGATCATTTAAAGAATAGTACTATACTGAGAATTCAATACTGGTCTCTATTTCTGGCAGTTTAGATATTCAGAGGTGATGGTAACTAGATCAGCCTTACTGAGAGTTCATGCCAAGAGACTATGCCTAGTCTCCATCTCTGCCACCATGGTCACTCCGTTCATGTGCCCATCATATTTCTACACTTACATCCTTAAAGTCTATTCTAAATACAGTAGCCAGATGAGTTCGTTTACACGCAAAACCCTGTAATGGTTCCCCACTTCAATCAGTAAAATCCCAAGTCTTTACAATGCCATTCGTCCTGTTCATTACTTTCCTGACTTTGTTAGCTACACATTTCCCCAAGTTCACTGTGTTCCAGTTGCACTGGACTCCTTACTGTCCCTTGAACTGGCCAGGTCCACTCCCACCCTGGTCTTTTGTTGTCTCCCTGAAACACTCTTCTGTAGATAGATAAACCCTCTCCTTCACCTCCTCCAATCTTTGTTCGAATTTCACCTTCTCAGTGAAACCTATCCCTGACCCCTTTATCCTACTTATTAATATGACAAAATGCCCCACACTTCCCCATCCAGCATGCTCATGCTCCCTACCCTGCTTTCCTTTTTTCCCCTATTAAACTTACTGTCCTCTAACATGCTACTTTATTTATCTGTTGTGTTTCTTGTCTAGTGTCTGTCTCCCCTGCTAGAAGACAGGGCTATTGGTCTGCTTTGCTCCCTCACATACTTTAAGCACCAGGAAAAGTGCCTGGAAACAGAAACAGAACTCAATAATGCAAGGGAAAATGAGCCACCCATGAATAAACGCAAATTAAAACAAGGTGATACTTTTGTGTTAAAATTAACAATTAAGACTCCGTAACCTCCCCAAATACCAAAAGTGTGCGGGAAAGATGTTTCCATAGTTTGCTAGTGGGTTTACAACCTTTTGGAAAGCCATTTAGCAATATAGCTGGTTCTTAACTTCTCAAATTTCAGTTCTCATACACTCTACATGAATACCTCCAAAACGACTTTCCTCAGCCTATCTATGACTTGAAAAGTTGATTTAATGGTGTAGTCACCCAGCCAGTGGGGCAAAGGCCTGGCATTCACATGTTTTATGTTTAAACAGTATCATTTACACAACCCCAACATTCCTTTTTCTCATTTGAACTGATTTTCTCATTAGTTTTGCAAGACTAAAAAACTGTTAGCAATAAATTGTGAAATAGATCTTTTGCTAAAGTCCAATA